TTTCGTTTCTGTTGTTTGTTTAATGAACCTGTTAACGAAGTATTTGATTGATCCATATGCGAAATTTTCGTTATTGGAATTTGGTGAATTGTTCCGTGATATTAAAACGAAGATATATTTCCTTTTATCTCTTCCTTTTCTCTTTTCCGCAAAAACATTATAAATAAAAAAGAATCTTCCTCTGATTTTATTTTTTTATCTATTCCATTGTGTTGGGTAAACGTTCCTCCGATAACATCCTATCTTCGAATCGCTTTGCCAGAATGTAGCGAAACGTCTTTCCAAGTAAAACGAAATCCATCTGCTCGTTCCGTATGCCGTCTCTCCGTGTCCCGTTAGAGGAATCAAGTTTTTTTCGCGGCGCGAAACGAAACTCCCGAGGCAGGTACAAAGTTTCCCGTGTACAGGAAGCGTGAATAAGTTCCTCGACGACATTATCGATCCGTGAAACTCGGCGAGAGACCACCCGCGTTCTCGAGAGCCCTCGAGAAATCTTCAGGAAACATCCTCGTCTCTTTACAGATACTTCATTACGTCATTCCCGCCGGTGTCACTTCGACTTCTTAAACCGGAAATCTTTGGCAACTTAATCGTTCCGCTCTCCTCGAGGAGAAACATCCCGCGGGGATCGATCGTGGAATTAATGGAGGAATTTTTTCTTTTCTCGTCACGCGATATTATATACGTGTGCGGTTAATACATCCATGTGGACCATTTTTGAAAAGAATCCACTTTTGATATGTATGTAAAAAAAAGGGGGAAAAAGTACAGAGGATGGTACGCAAAAATTTAATTAAAATTTAATTTGCATATAGATGGAGGGTAGAACTGTTTCACTCTGTATCTTGCGAAAAATCGATTCTGCAAAGATGGTCAAAGAATAATTAACACTCTATATAAGTACTTAGTCACTTCGTTCCGCTTGATCGTGCGTCAAGGTTACTTTGCTATTGCGTTAATCGTTAAACCATCTTTCTAGTCTACCGTAAAATTGCATAATTGCTATGGCAATTAATCAATCGTTTTATCATCCGTTAAGATGCAAATACGAAGCGTACGTGCAATTGGAAAAGTTTTAAGCAATAATTGAAATAATCAAATGACGACTTTGTCACGGTACATAATAAGGAGATAGAAAAATTTCAAAATAAAAAAAGACAAAAAAAAAACACACCTCGAGACACAAAAAAGTCAATGATATTTCCCGTAATCGAAAAAATTTCTGGATTCCACGAGACCCCATCTTATCGGTTAAATCCCACGAGAGATAAAAAAAAAAGGAAAAGAAAGAAATCAAGGGAATCGCGGACAAAGAGATAGTAGAAGAATCGTCGAGTGCAGCGCGCACTCGTGCAGTGCATGCAGTACCAAAAGGGGACAAAAATGCGAGGCGGAGTAATTTGAAAAAAGTTGCGCAAACGTCTCGAGGCTTGACATTGTTGGGCTCACGCGCGAACGAGCAGGGAGGGATATTCTTGAGACGAGTGTAAGAGGAGAAAAGCGTGTATAATAGGTGTACCGGGTGAAGAAGACGGCACGGAATTATTACCGTGTCCTGGGTGACAAAGAATCCTCACCTCGGCCTTCGTACTCGCGGACGACGTGGCCGAGGCGAACTGGGTCAGTTACGTGCCTATGAGCGCTGTATGCTCGATTCACGCGCGTCAATTCAACACCGTTGCATTGTCAGCGCGAAACGAATATCCCGGGTATCGTTTTCCACCAACTTGGAAACTCCATCATAAAACTTGGTGGAATTAATTGCATCCTGCCACTCTTTCTCTCTCTCTCTTCCTCTATCGGGGCAAAGTTTACCAGGCCTCGATCTAATCGGAATCGCCACTGTTTCGTAAGGTAATTAAGCGAATTAAGTTAATTCGAGAGGAAGGGAAATCCGTGGCGTTTCAATTAAAAGTGGAGGGTTAATTGAGCGAGTAAAAAATTCCAAACTTGGTATTTATATTAATTTCCCGTGGTCTTTATTTATTTATTTTTCTCTGTTTCCTCGTGTAATATTTATCTCCGGATCAAAAGTGGAAATTTCTTTTAGAAAGTTTTAGAAACGACACACTCCAAGTTTCCGCTCTCCCAGAAGGGAGGATCGATTACGATCGAATTCGCTTTCATTTCGATCTTCGCTTTCAAATGTTTCGCGAGATCCTACGTGGCAAATTATTTCATCCGACTAATTGGAGTAGTTCTCTGTCGGGGATAGTCGGGGAAGATTCGTAGAGGATTTTCAGAGAGAATTGGTTTTGGTATCCCGGGGGCGACAATGATGCGAAAAGCAAACGAGATGCAAGAGCGCATCGACACGAGTATTTTATGCGTGGATCGCGCTGAATGGACAGACGCGGCGAAAAGGATGCGGTTAACCTCGCTAGTTTCATGTTTCCTACGAAGGTGAAACGTTCGTGTACACACAAGCGACATTCGCCCGAGGCTTGTGGAAATATCGCGCTTTTTTCATCGATCGACCACACGAGTCACTTCTTTACAACGCCGAGGAGGATAAATTACGTTTACGCGGAATAATTTTGAGAATACAAGGCTAAATAACAACTCCTAATTGGTTTCAACCAGCGTGTCTCTTTTACCCTATGCTAATAAGTAAAAACGATACTTTTCGCGAGGCGAGCAACAGCATTAAAACAGCTCGCGAAACATCATCGCCATTTATACCTCGAGCGATTTAAAATTGAAAACAGTCCTTCAAACGGGAAGATGAATCGCGCGCAACTACCTAATATATCATCCCATGAAAATTCACGTAAATTGGATCGTGAATTCACTCGAAGGCCATCTATTTTCGACTAATAGAAACGAATTCTTCTTCCCTTCTAACCAGTTGTATAATAGAAAACGCATTAGTCTGATATATAAGATCTCTTTCTCCTCCCCCCCACCCTCTCCTACTTTCATGTAACGATAGATAGATCTTGCCAATATTTCATCCGAGATATTAACGATTAAGATTTTTCTTATCCGTATAATGATCGAAAAATAAGAAAAAGGAAAAAAGAAGAAGAAGAGAAAAATCGCAATTTACTCGAACAAATTCCACGAAATTTCTCTCTTTTCTCCTCTTCTTCCGCAGCTGACGGATGACGAAGAGGGCGTATATTTCAAACGGGAACCGCGGAAATTATTCTCACGATTCTCCATAAAATTATCCTCCGTTAAAATAATCGTCGGCCAAACTTTCAACGTCCGCGCGACATCTTTTTACGAATGTTTATATCGCGGGTCCCCCCTCGGCGGGAAAGATCGCGTACACCAAGCAGCGGAGATTCCCCTTTCGGTACAGCGGGGCAGGTTCCTCCAAGACCAGTTTTTCTTTAATACCGCACGCCAGTCGGCTCTTCATGAAGCAGTTTCTGTTGAACCAGACAATGGACGATGCGGACGAAGGCTGCCTCGGGGGGCTCGTATTTCATTGATATTGCATCGTGAATTCCCGACCTAAATCACATTCTGATAGCCAACCAGCCCCCTCCTTACCCCTTTCCTTCTATTTTTGACATCATGCACCCTTCTCCCTCTCTCTCTCTCTCTCTTTCTCTTCGCGTATCGCAGTCTCGCTCTTACCCCTTTCCCCTTTGTGTATCGTATCGCGAAATTATTCACGAAGAGGAGAGCCTCGAGGAACTTTGGCCGCCCTAGGCCATTCATTGGACATCTTTCCCATTGCATCTGTTCGCAAACCATCTTTCTCGTGTTCGCGTGCTTCAATATATACCTTCTTACCGGCCTATTATGCACAGATTACGAGTCACGTATTTCATATTTATTTATACACTTCTCCTCGTTTCGTTCTCTCTCTTTCGATGTTTAGCTCGATCAAATCGTTCGTTTCTTTCTTTTCCTCTCGCGAGGGACGATAGTATTACGTAAAGAGCTTAATTTTGCGCTTATCGAAATCGTAAAAAATAGACACAATGGGATGTTTGATTTTAATTTATGAATGAAAAATTAATTTGGAGAAAAATTGAATAGATTC